TCGACCCGAGTCGGGTAACTCGGTTATCCTTTGCCCATCATTTTTTATACTAAACAAGGGTGCCCTGACTATCAATTCACCAAAATGTGGGATTACAGAGAAGAACTTCTTAGATCAAATCCTGGTCCTACTGTTATTTTGGGTACTGATGATGCTGAAAATGGTGAGAAGAGGTTCAATAGATTCTATGTTTTCTTCAGTGCACTTAAGAAAGGCTTTAAAGCAGGTTGTAGGCCAATCATAGGAGTTGATGGTTGTTTCTTAAAAGGGCCTCATAAGGGAATTTTACTCACAGCTGTTGGTGTGGATCCAAACAATAATCACTACCCTCTGGCATATGCCATTGTGTCTTCAGAAAATGGGGAGACTTGGGAGTGGTTTTTGATTCTCTTGAAGAATGACCTAGAAATACAAAACCAGCAAGATTGGACCTTTATTTCAGACAAGCAAAAAGGCCTAATCCAAGCTTTCAGATCTGTTCTTCCTGATTGTCACCACAGATTTTGTGTGAGACATCTCCATAACAACTTTCAGAATGCTGGTTTTAGAGGTCTAGAGTACAAGAAGGCTCTTTGGAAATGTGCATTAGCAACTACTGTTGGTGAATTCAACCACTGCATGGATGAGTTGAGAGAACTAAGTCCAGAAGCAGCAGATTGGCTCAGTGACAAACCACCATCAGAGTGGAGCAAGTCACATTTCAGTGAAGGCTCCAACTGTGACATGGTACTAAATAATGTCTGTAAGACATTTAATGGAAACATACTGGAGGCTAGGGATAAACCTATGCTAACTATGTTGGAGTGTATTAGGCAATATCTAATCACTAGGCTTCAAAAAAAATAGGGATAAGGCTGCAAAAATTTGGAAGGATGGGTTGTGTCCAAAAATTAAGGACATCCTTTCAGGGAATATTGAACATGTGGGTAATTTTATTCCTCTGAAGTGTGATCATGCAAACTGGGAGGTCTCTTGTTTCAATGGTGGGCAATTTAATGTCAATCTTGATCTAGGAACTTGCAGTTGCAGAAAATGGGGCTTGACTGGAATACCTTGCCCACATGCTTGTAGTGCTATGTTTTTGGCCAAAATGGACCCATTTGATCATGTTGCCAATTGTTATTCTGTTGATACATATCACAAAGTTTATGGACCAGCTATAATGGGCGTTAATGGTGAGGTGCTGTGGGATAAGAGTTTGTATATTCCACCATTGCCTCCAAACTTTGGCAGAGGTGTGGGAAGACCAGGTAAGTCTAGAAGACTTGAAAGTGATGAGAGACCTTGTAAGAAGAAAAAACAAGGCAAGATAATGGATGGTCAGAGACTTAGAAGGCAACAAAAGAGTGTGAAGTGCAAGAAATGTGGTGTTGTGGGCCATAATAGCAAAACATGTGATAGGAGAGCCTCCAATGAAGAAGTTGGGATGAGTTCAAATGATGTTCAACCACCTCCTACATCCACAGCTGCATTGGAGTCTAGGGTAAAATTCAAAACCTGTTATTTTAAATTTCTCTGTATTACTTCAACTTTGTGATATTATTTCTCTATATTTTAATTTTCTCTGTATTACTTCAATCTCATATAGGATGGTGTTGGAGGCTCAGTGCACATGACAAAGAAACAAAAACAACATCCAACATTATTGCCCCCTGTTTTTTGAAGAAGCTGAAGAGATTGATGTCCCCATTCTCACACAAATGTCTCAGTCCAATACAACAACAACCACAAACACAAACATTGAAGGACCATCAATGTGGGATCAACTTAAGAAGGGAAGAACAAGAGGTCCTCCAGTTGATGACTCTCACCAGAAGAAGTTTAAACATTTGTCACAGATTTAAGAAGTTTGAAAGTGGATGGCTTGTTTTGTGATCTAAGTGTTGTTTTTTGTAGTTATATATGGTACATTGTCTTCTTTTGGAATTTCTGGAGTGGATGTGGTATTAGAACTTGTTTTTGGAGAATCTGATTTGGAGAACCTCTTGTTTTAGTGGAGTGGATGTAGTGGATGTGATATTAGAACTTGTTTTGGAGTGAAACCTCTTGTTTTGTTGGGTTTTGAAATTTGATGTATGATTTTGGAACCTCTTGTGCTGTAGTAATTGTTTTTGCAGTAATATATTCTTCTTTGGGCAGTTGATGTTTGTGTAACCTGTGTGTTGTGTAACAAACTCTAACATTTGTTAAACTCTGTTAACTTGTGTTTTCTTCTTTTGTGTAGTTTCTGTACTTGGATATTTGTGTAACAAAAGCATACAAAGATAGGTAAAGGTACAGAACATAGCTCCCATAAATCAATAGAAACAAAGAAGTGAACACATTACACTAGTAGAAGATTTAACATCATCTAAATAAGAGAATACATTACAAAAGCATATGGAAACTAGAGTATCCAAAAGGTTTTAACATCATAGTTGAAAACACAACACATATTACATAATCCATAACTAAACAAAAGACAATCACCAGTACACATAATCCATAACTAAACAAAAGACAATCACTAGTACACTCCATCACAAACATTCTACTAAACAAAAGTACAGAACTAAGCAAAACACAATCCATGGTTCTGCAGCATTCTACTAAACACAACCCATAGATCTGCAGGTTCTCTTCATCATTTCATGAGGCATGAGAGGAGCTGAAAGAGAACAAAAGCCACAACCAAACAAATGCAGGTTCTCTTCATCATTTCAAGGCTCTTCTTCAGTTTTTCATTTTCAGCTTCCATGGCATTCACCTTACGTAGTAATCCTGGAATTATAGCCATTGCCCGACGACACATTGGAGGGTCCTCCCAATCGAAAAATTTGCAACCACCTCTCTGAGAAGGAACAAAAAAAAAAAAAAAAAAAAAAAAAAAAAA